GAGAGCGAGAGCGAGAGAGAGAGAGAGAGAGAGAGAGAGAGAGAGAGAGAGAGAGAGAGAGATGGAAAGGAAATAGGTCATTTGCTTTATTATTTAATCCACAATAGATTTCTTTCAAAGAACTAGCTTTCCTAGTTAATGCCTTTAAGCTATATCTTTTTTTTTTTTTTTGCTATTCAGGGTTTCTAGTTGTAAGAAAAATAAAACTTTTAAGCAAGAAGAACTTACCTGTAAAACGTATACTTTTTTTGTGGCACTGTAGTTTGAACTCAGGGCCTACACCTTGAGCCACTCCTCCAGCCCTTTTTGTGTTAGGTGTTTTTGAGATAGGGTCTCTCGAACTATTTGCCTGGGTTGGCTTCGAACCACAGTCCTCCTGATCTCTGCCTCCTGACTAGCTAGGATTATAGGCGTGAGCCACTGGCACCTGGCTAAGCTATGTCTTGATTGATAAAAAATTTACTGTAACTTCACTTTCTCAGGAGCATATTTAATGCATAAAAGTATGCATTAAAATTTGATGTCACAATTATTGCTTGAATTAAGTGAGCCCGTTATTTGATCTTTGAAGTCTTTGTTATATGGGATGGTGTTAATTGTCTAAATCGTTCTGACTTGTAGTAATGCTAGAGATTTTAGCTTCAGCCCACAAGTGCTTGTAGAAAGGAGCTAGTGTTACTTTCTGGAAATAAATTAGAGTTTATGGATTTTGAATAAGTCTAAGGATGGGACCATCTACCTCATTTAGGTAAAATTCTTTTATTTCCAGTTATTTGTATTTGACTACCCCAAGGATACAGAAAATTGGTTTATAGTAAATAATGGCAACCGATACCATTTTAAATCTTAAGAATCTATGATAAGCTTTCCAAAAGTGAGCATATTGGTAAGAGGATCCTGGGCTCTAGGCCCAACTCTAACTTGGTTTACCACCCTTGGCAAGTTTCTTCCACCATAAGTTGTGGAGGTTGGACAGGGTGATTTTGAGAGCCAGTTCTCAAAAGTTTATGGTTCTCTTTCTAGGCCTCAATACCTGGTGTGAATGTGCATGATTGATACTAGAATGAGGTGTAATGGTTGTTAAAAATACAATCATCCTGTTAAAAAAAAAGCCTGTAAAGATGTATCAATTGAAATCTAATGTGTTTTATATTTTTTTAACAGAATCATATTAAAAAAGCTAAGTGTGTCCCCAAAACTTAAGAAAGAATCTGGTTCATTTTTTTCTGGTTCCTTTCAAGTCCTTGTTCCTGTACAAATATGAATTTTACATAGTTAGGGTTGTAAGACTATGCCATGTTGCTTAGAAATAAGAGCTCACTAAGACAGAGCTTTGTAAACCAATGTGGAGGAATGAAGTCAGAACCTGACAGAGTACACATGAAGAATCCCATACGTTTTGTTTCTTGAATGCCAGGAGAGACTAACAGTTTCATAAGTTATCCCTAAACACTTTCTGTGATTTAGGGGTTGTTTATGTATCTAGCAAGGCTGTTAATCCTATTCTTTTGACCTCCTGTTACCCTTCTCCATTCTTTTTACACGCAAAAAAAATCTCCAAAACTATGATCTAGTGTTTAGTTGGTCTAAATTATTGTCAATCTCTGTATCATGATACCCCACTAAGACAATATAAATTTATGCAGACTGTGAAATCTCTAGAATGAGAAAAGAGAAATAGGAAAGCATAGATATGCTTATTTCATAGCTTCAAAAATAATATGTTTAAGTCATACTAAAAAATATGGAAAACTAAAGATTGTAGATAAGTAAATAGAAGACCTATAGGTGCAGTAGAGTAGTCCATACATAATGGGTTCTTCATTTGAGGCCTTCACCATGTTGTGAAAGTCCAGTTCCATGTACCTTTATTTTCCTTTGATAACAAAGGTATAGAATACATCTCCAATTTTTTGATAGATTCATTTCTGGAAACTAGAGGCTCATTATAAATTAAATGAAATTTCTCCAAGAAGAATAGAAAAGTTGAGGTATGGGTCTTTAGTATATGAATCAAGTGAAGTATAGGAATTAAAAAAATTTTGTAATATGTGTTCATGGGAAAATGCAAATATATCATTTACTAATAATTCCAAAGGCAATTCTTGAAAAAAATCTAGTTTTTTTTTTAAACTCTCTAGGCTTGCCTTGGCATTTATAAAGTCACTTTAATTCTTGCCCCTGTTCCATGAAATGGCATTAGCCTATGTGACTTGAAGTCTGAATCTGGGTTTCTCTGCCTAGCCCCTGTCTGACTTGTCATGTGACCAAGAGTAGCTGAATTAGCTGCTCTAAGCTTCAGTTACTCTTCTGGGAAGCAAGGATATTAATACTTCACAGAGGTGTTTAGGCATGCTTCATATTGGGCACATGCTTTGAGGTCATTGGATGAAAGGTGTTTGCATGATGGCAGAGCAGGCCTTATAGGGTCCCAAGCAGGTGTTCACTTTTAATGAGCTTTGCTTTCTTATAACATACAGTGCCCTTTGCTGCCCATTGCCTTACTGACTATAATTAAGATTGACCATACATTTGTGTTATTGACCCTCTCAGCTTTTTGAAAAAAATTAAACATTTTCATGCTCTATGATAAGTTGAGGTGCAAATAAGAGGACTCTAGTGACTGCCAGGATGATGGGAAAAAAGACTTTAGCTAGAACGCACATGGTGATCAGTGCCTTAAGAGCCTCCTTCAAATGTTAAAAGAGCAAAGCAAATTTCGGTGTGTCTGTGTTTTAAGGGAGAAAGTTTTGGGTAATATTTGCTTGTGACAAATACTGATGATAGCCAGTAACTGAAACCCAGCCATTGTAGTGTTTTTTGCACAGCTGGTTTTTATTAATGATGGAATATTTATGCTTGCCATACAATTCGTGGCTCATTTCCATGTGTATGTCAGAACTTAAATACCCCCCGAGGCAACATTAAGATAACATTAAATATAAATGTGGCCAAGCTAGAAAGGGTGGACTTAGGGGGGGTGGTCCTCCCTTATTCTTATTAGTGTTGTTTCAGGTCAAATAACTGCTCCCCTTCAGCATTGATGCTGATCTTTTCCCCCCTTATATTAGCTCATAACAAACTTTACATTTTGATCCTTTCGATATGGACAAATGATCAGCTCCCCCCTTTATAATGCAGATGAAACTGATGTATGTGCTTTTTAAGAGCATATTTTCCTTGCACATGCTTCTCATTATCCTAGAGGCCTGGACTCAATCAGTAAAGGAGGAGAGAAACCACATAATTGAAAGGAGAATGACGGTGGTGCATACTTGGAATATTTGTGGGAAGGGGATTGCTGACATCAGAAAATGTAGTGGCCTGAGTGTTAACAGTGTTGAAGAGAAACCAGCTTTCTGTGTTTCTGTGTATTGAGAATTATTTTTGAGGAGATAAAAATATGGGCCAGGTTACACATCCTTTTATGAAGTTGCCCTAGAAACTTGATGAAGGTTGTTATAGAAGAGTTCAATTAAAACCTTCCCCATTAGGAAGCTAATTAGTGTGTCCCTTATTCATTTTGGTTGTTTTCAAGGGGTATGGTTTTGTAATGAATTAGTGACATTTTTTTCTGTGATAGCAAAAAAGATAGCAGTCACAGATGGTGAAAATTATTTAGACTGCCTATTTTGAAGAAATCTAATTTCCTTATTATTAAATTTAGGTTTTCAGTTCAGATTTTTGTTTTTATTCCTTTCATATACAGTGATCACATTTTAGTTTGGTAACCAGTTTTACTTTATGGACCATGGGCTGTAAACCAAAGCAGACTAATTTAGGTTTCCCTTGTGAATTGAAGAAATACAGTGAATCATAACAAACCATTTTATTAAGATAATATTTGATTTTCTTTCCTTCCATAATTACTTTCTCTTTGCTCTGTATGTGTGGGGGGCTGGGATAGATGGATTGTGGAAGGCAGATTGTTTTTTAAAAGCAAACAATTTTTGGAGCTAAGAAAATATTGATGACTCCTTTTATCCCCAAGAGCATTCTTCCTGCCTGAGGCTGCCTGTTAGGTTTGGGTTAGGGAAATGTGATAAGTTTTCTGACTTGGTGCTTTTTGTGGTCAGGCTAAACACTTCTCCCTTCGTAACCTGAAGGGGAAGAGTTATGGTAGAATAGGAACCCAGCTTCTTAGCAAGTTCTTTCTACTGTATTACATTTTATTAGGGGGATGTACTGGCTCCTGAGGTTTTAGGACCACTTGCATACACACACACACACACACACCCCATATAAAATGTAGGCTCTCTGTGGCCCTCCTTTTGTCCATAACTTACAGGGAGTGGTCGTTCTGTACACAAAGTTCCTGATGCTATCCCCGAGGCATTTGCCTGCACTAGGTCCTGTGAGTGGGCAACTTGACTGGGTAATGTGATTCGTGGCTCTAACCCTTCTTGGGAAGGCAGGTAGGTTCAGTTTTGTAACGGCAACTCAGTCAAGTCAGACTGCCAGTGCTTACAGATAGATCAGTAGCAGGAGGAGCGGCTGTTTCTGCCTTGAGAGAATGACTCAAGGTCTTTGGCATGAAGATATGAAACATTGGCTCCTGTTCATGCACCTGCTGGATGCCACACCTGTAGTCAGCACCTGAGTGCCACTCACACACAAAAACCCGACTGAAGACAAATGGGACTTCCTTCCAAAGGGGTACAGCAAAATAGAGAGCTCCCAATTGTGTTAGTGGAGCTTGTCTGGGAATTACATGTAGCTGTCTGTCCCAGTTGTTGACTTGGGGAAACGTTTTAGATATTTTCTTCTAGGTGCAGCACACTCACTTGCTCAAGATACTGTTGGAGTGCTGACGGAGTTGGCTTTTCAAATGAATTTTTCTTATGAACTGGCCTCTTAAATACCAGAGAGGCAGTCTGTGGAGGTTTTTGTCTTATAATCAAGCACAGGGCAGGAAGTTACAAGATGTGGCCTTACTGGTGAGCAACAGTGAAAATCTGGACAAATTAGTTAACAGCTAGCTGTTCTGGACTTGAGCTTCTCCAGTTGAAAAATGGAATTAATCACATTTGCCTTTATTTCCACACACAGCTGCTGAGGGGGATAACAGAAGTGAAAGAGCTTTTGACTCCTTAGAAGGCTGAGAAACTAAAGGTAATAGAATTATTATTCCCTATCTTTTATGCCTTTTCTTTTCCTGCTGTTGCCTCTAACAAAGTCTTTGGGAAGTTGTTATTCACTCAGTATACAATTACTGAGTACATTGTATGTACCAGTTACCATTTTAGGTGTTGGGACACACACAGTATAAAATCACACATCTAGCCATGCCCTCTAAGATCTCACAATGTAGCTGATTTTCACTTCTATTTCTGGCTTAACCCTTTACTGTGATTTCTGCTTGGATACATAGAATCATAAATGGAGAGAATTAGCTTCTTTTTTTCTCTCTGTAATGCAGTTTGGGATATCCATCAAGGTCTAGATTGAAGTTACATGTGTGTGTGTGTGTGGGGGGGGAGAAGCCATGGAATAAATAAGGCAATTTCTCTCACTCACAAATTTGCAAAGTGCCTGATCCTTGAATGATCACTTTCTCCAGGGGTCCATCCTTAGTTTCATCCTTGGTTCTGTATGGTCCAACCCACTCTTACGACCTTAGCTGTTACCCATATGTTAATAACTCAACCTGCCTTTGACATATGTCTTCTGAGTTCAGAGGTTTTTCAGGGAGTGCAGAGACCTCTGTGTTGCTAGAGCTATCTGCTCATACATGATTATGTTTTTTTCATTGGATTGTGCCTCTTGTGCTTGCCCAGGAGCTCCTTCAGGACTGGACTCTGGTTTTTTTCCTACCTTAGGGCCGACCTAGCACAGGGTCTGGCTATAGTAACTGCTCACTAAATGTTTGTGGGAAATCCACTGTGGTCAGTGCTATAATTGAGACATGTACAAAGTTCACTAGGAAAACAGGAGATAGAATAAATTTTCCATATTGAGCTGGGATGGGAAATGTGGAGTATTGGAGAAGGATTAGAGAAAAACCTTCAAGGAGAAGGTGGAAAGCAGAACTGCCCTTTTCTAAGAGTTCTGGCAAAGAAGCGAAGGAAAGAAATGTCTGTCATGTCTGCTCTTGCTATGCTAGGGGCATCTCTGGCCTGCAGCCTTCCCTGCCATAAGACTGGATGACTTTTATTATAGTGGAGTCTGTGAATAGCCTCTATCTATAATACATTGACCATTTAAGACAGGTGCCACTTAGTCATATTAAGTCATATTAAACAGAACTCACCTTTAAAGTGTCACCTTAATTGAAGCTGTGAATAGAGGCATTCACATAGGTTATTGGTCATGTATATTTACTTTTATGCAGCAAAATGTGCTTTAGGGTAGATTGAAGATTGGGATCTGAAAACAACTCTCAGAACATAGTAGGTTGGGTCACGAGAACTGAATGTCTTCAAGCTGTCAGATCTTTCCAAGGGCAAAAATGAAAGATGATATAAGCCATTACAGGCTATGAACCTGTTCTCACCCACCTGATGCTTTTACTAATTAGCTTCTTGGCTGAGTGGCAATTTGGGGCAAGTGCATGCAAGCTGGATTCACAAGGGAGCCCACATTCCACTCTGCCATTTTGTAAGCCACTGAGATACTACACAGCTTCTCTGACTTCTGCTGCTCCCCTGAGCCCTGCTCTTCCCTGGTGGAGAAATGGGAGCAGGAGAACTTCTCATTAAAAGATTTCAATGGGAGAAATTTCATGGGGTTTTGTGATTTTGTTAGTTTTATATTTTTTGTTGGGTTTTAAAAAAGCATTCATACTCCTTGACCAATTAATTTCACTTGTGGGATTTTATCATTAGGAAACAATCCAAAATATTGAAAGACTAAATCACAAAGATATTTTTGTAATGTTATTGAGACTAACACAAGATTGGAAGCCATTTAAATGTCTTAATAATTAAAGGATGGGTAAGTGAATCTTGATATACTCATTTAATGGATTCTTACACAGCCATTACAATATTTGTTGTGAATTCTGTGCCACAACATGGAGAAAGGGCTTATGGTAAAGTGAAATGCATTATATAAATTATGTGTACATTAATATTTCATTGCTTTGTAAAACTGCATGGAAGGAACTGAAGGGAATATTCTATGATGTTAACAATGCTTGGGTTTTAAAAAAAACAATGCTTGGGTTGAGGTGTTAAAATTTTAAAGTGATTTTTTTAATAAATATTTACATGCTATGCTTATCTAATTTGTAAAATAAAGTACAGATAAGAGTAAAATGAGCAGTATGCCATTGGAGTCAGAAGACTGGTAAAGCAATTGGTATACCCTTACCTTATCTTTTCTCCTTTTGCTCAATCTGATTTTATGGATTCTTTATGTTTTTGAGTCAATAAAGAATGGAATGTTGCCGGGCACTGGTAGTTCATGCCCGTAATCCTAGCTACTCAGGAGGCAGAGATCAGGAAGATTGCAGTTCCAAGCCAGACAGGGCAAGTAGTTCGCGAGACCATATCTCAAAAAGAAAAACCCATCACAAGAAAAGGCTGGTGGAGTGGCTCAAGGTGTAGGCCCTGAATTCAAACCCCAGTACTGCAAAAAAAAAAAAAACAAAAAAAAGATTGGGATGTGGTAGCATGGTCTAGTTCTCCTTTGAAATGGATGTATGGAAGGGTATGGCAACAGGATTCTCCCTAATTCTCCATATTTTACTGTTCACATCCACTTCCTGGGGATTACTTTTGTTGCCTATTAACAAGTTCAAGTTAATTGCTTCAGCGCATAGTAAAGTAAAACTGGCACCCAAAATGACCAAGCCTGAGTTACTATCTTAGAAACAGATCTCCCACACTGATCCTCACTAAGATTTGGAAATGCCAGGGTTGTGCTGTGGTTCTTAAAATAAATTTCCAACTCAATCTGGCCAAAGGCAGAGATAGGAGCAAAGGGTTGAGGCCAACTCTCTCCTTAAGCTTTTCCTTAAGCTAGTGTAGAATTAAGTAAGAGCAATGCCAAACTGGTTTGATATCACAAGACCTACAATAAGGGCCCAGAAACATTGATGAGGGGGGCTTATGTTGCTCTCCAACTGACCTGCACATTTTGGCCTAAAGAAGAGCAACTTTGCCAGGGCCTTCTGCCATACTTCCAGCTAAACACTTCTCTCTTACCTCTTTGAATTTTCCCTGCTGACATTTACATTTTATTTCCAACAGGACTGGAAAATTGTTGGTAGCATTAAGCCATGTTCATAGTCTCTTAAAACCAGGGTCAATTCAATTTAATAAATATTAAGTATCTTCAATGTATAAGCTAATAATGCCAGATAATGTATTTAATGGCCTAGGAGATACAAAACCTGATTTTGGTCCTTGTTCTGACCCTTTGAGGTCTGGCATTTTCATCTTATACACACAGGAGTTGAACCACTAAGTGGTCTCACAAGAATTTTTCTAATTTTGGTCTTTGGGTCTATGGACCCCTACACAAAAAACTGTGTTACAAATAAAGATTTTATTTATTTATTTATTTTTGTGGTACTGGGATTTGAACTCAGGGCCTACACCTTGAGCCACTTCAGCCCTTTTTTGTGATGAATTTTTTCAAGATAGGGTCTTGCGATCCTCCTGATCTCTGCCTCCTGAATAGCTAGGATTATATAGAAGTGAGCCACCGACACCAGGCACAAATAAAGATTTTAAAAAATAACCCTACTTCATAAAATTTCTACAGCATTCTAGGAAAAAGTTACTTTGAAATAATAATTATGGTAATAATTAACATTTATTGAGTCCTTATTATGTGCCAGGCTCCTTGCTTAGCACTTTGCATGGAGTACATCCCTTAATCTCTATAATAATCCTATGGTATGAGCACCATTATCCCTATTTTTCAAATGATGAAATTGAGACTTGGGGAAGTCAAGAAACCTGAACAAGTTCAGTTAGTAAACAATAGACCCAGGATTTGAATTTAGGCAATGTGATTCTAGGCTTCTTAACCATGGTATTTTTGCTACCCATTGAAAGTTTAGAGAAAGCCTGCAAAAGGACTTAGTTTCTTTATCACCCAAAGAAAGTGAATGCATATCTTGGGTTGCAAGATTGTTGGAAGAAGTAGTGTCTAGGACACTCAGGCCACAATATGGGCCAACCTGAGAGGACATAAGAATTCACTGGAGTTTCTATTTTTTTCTAAGAGGTTGTATGTTGTATTGTATTGTGTGTGTGTGTGTGTGTGTTTTATGCACAAATACATGGACATAGTTACAGGGAAAATTTTGAACAGGCTGCTTTCCATTTAGTTGAGGATAAATAGATATGAAACAAGTTTACCAAAGTTTAATAGAGAAACAAATTTTCTAGACTTAGATTCTCCATCCTGGTTGGTGCAGTGAGTGGTGGAGGTAGAATGGGAAGAGGAGGTAGAACAAGGGATAGAAAGAAGATCTAATAGGCATATTACAAAATTTATTTGAAGGGTAGAAATTTGTTTTGTCCTGGCTACCTTAGAATATTGACTTTTTGGGACTTGGCTTGGGAAACATCTGGCCTCACACTAATGTGTTTGGCCCAACCCAGGTATATTGAAAGAGGCCAATGAGTGCAACTGGAATAAGTATTTATTTAGCTTGGCCTTGTTGCCTTGTTGTACAGAAGAGCTGGGAGTATACATTCACATTATACTTTTAAGTCAGTACTACATGTATCTTTTCTCTCTCAAACATCCTTATGGACAGTCTGTATGTCCAGGAGCAACAAGGTTATTTTATTGATTGAAGATGATGTCAGACCCCTGGGAGTGGCATGAGTAAAGCTGTGGACAGAGTAAAGGTTGCAGAGTTCATATTGTTTTGGTTCTTCTGCATTAGACATGGAATTTTTTCCTTCCTTTCTCTAATAAATGAAGTAATGTTTTCCTTCTTATGTGACTCTTCACATGCAGATGAACATAAATTCTTTAAGAAAAAAGCAGTAAACCAGAGAGGACTTTGAAAAGTTTTAATCTTGTGCTGATTTCCTTTCTTATGTTAAACAGAAACCAAAAAGGTCTGGGATGGGGTGGGAGAGTGATCTGTGTCCATTTGACATAAAATGATTCAGATGTTGAAAAGATTGTGAAGGAGAGAAGACAACATTAAGGAAAGAAATGGACTTTGGACAAGTAAAGTTTTCCCAATGAGGAACTGGCTCTTAGAAGAAAGTCAGTCACTATCAGCATGAAGAATTTTAGTTCTGGAAAAGAATTATGTGGTGGTTTTTCTCCTGGGGCTGAAGTTAAAAGCCTTGGGGATGTTTTCTGGTGTTTCAGTTGAAAAACAGACAAATATTTTATTCAAAATTGGACAATAGAAGCACAGGTGGTTATTTACCATACCTCTTCTAGCAGTCCAGCTTTGATTGCAATTAAAAGTTGTTCCTCTGCTTTGAAATTAAGGGAGACACCCTAAAATAATTACCTTTCAGATTCAAGGCAATTTTACTTTTGATGGTGATTATATGTTGGGCCAAAACAAGATAGAAAGACAAATTTCTGGGTTGGTTCACTCTATCTGCTCACTTTATTTTTGACAACATTGCAAGGAAATAATGTAAAATTAATCACTGTGTAGTTTTGTGGATTTTTTTTTAATTTGAAAATTTCGGACATGCTCCCAAAATAAAAAGATGCTCGTTTGCTTCCTTTGTGTTGCCTTGCTCCTCAGATGGAGACTGGTGCAGACTAAAGCTTTTCCTTCAGGTGATATAAATGAGTCAAGGCTAGGCCAAGACATGGTTCATTACATCTCACCTAGACAAGAACTCCTAAGTATACAACCATTTTGGTTGGAGCTGGAAGACTTTCCAGAAATTATAAATGACGACTATCTCAATTTCATATCTGTGAGGCATTTGCATCTCATCTCAATAATATGAACTCTGGTAGATTACTTTTGCTGAGACTGGCGCCGAGGAAGTGCTGAGAAAGCAAGTGGAGGCATCTTCTCTTTGGAGAAGGGTTACTGCTCTGGAGTGAGAAGGGTGGTCAACTTTCTTACTCCAGCAAAAATAATGGGCTACCAATCAGGTGATCAGATTGTAAGCTCCATATGGGCAGGAACTATATTTTGTGTGTCTTTGTATCCCTCATTGTATCTAGCATGAAGCTGGCAAATGTCTGGAATAGTCAATATGCAATAAATACTAAATGACTTGGCTGAAGTTTTGTTTTTCTTCTGCCCATCTGAAGCCGGGGCAGTCAAATCGGGAGCTTGACACAAGTGTTCTTTCTTTGACAAAGAACCTACTCCCCTCCCCCTTTTTAAAAAATTGCTGTGCTGGGTGGTGGTACATTGTGGCAATTTCAAAAGTTCTTATAATATTTCAAATATATCGTACTTGAATTCACTCCCTCCATCATTCTCCTTTATCCCCTTTGTCCCCATTCCTGGAATAATTTCAACAAGTCTCATTTTTCCATTTTTACACGTCTGTACACAGTATTTGCACTATATTTACCCTACCATGCCCTTTTCCTACCTCTTCCCCCTTCTCATTGATACCAGATTCCACAGGCAGGACCTATTCTGATTTTGTAAATGAAAAACAATGACATTTAAAAAACCCATCTTTTGATGACTGCCTTCCCTTATGAAATATGGGGCAGTGAACCTCATGAACCTGTCCTGCTGACAGCAATTTAAAAGTGGCACCTTAAGGTAACAGTGGTTATGATTTTTGTCATCACCCAGCATTCCAACAGGAATGGTTTTCCAGGGCTGTGATATTAGAACAGAGTGATCCTTTCCAGTGTCAGACCTGAGCCTTTCCATCACCTGGAGACTGGCATGACCTCTTGAACACAGCTGCTGGACAGTGAGGTTTCTTTCTTGTCCTAGTGGAGATGGACTCTGCCACTCATTTAAAAGCCAAGCACTATGGGATAAGTCATTCCCTTGGAAGGAGTGGTTTGGTTAACTGCTGGCTGTTGGTGGCAACATAGAAACGACATTTTTATTTCTCCCTCCCTTCCCCTCCTGAACATTTCAGAGTGACCAGTGGTTGAACTCTTGGCGGCGCTTACCCTGAACCTGAGTGTTAGGGGAGAGGGACTCTGCCACTGCGGTTTCTGGAGCTGTTCATAAGCAAGAATTCCCTATCCTGATCAAGGCTTTAAGCCTAAGAAAGCAGAAATAGGTATGGACAATAAGGGTTTGTGTGTGTGTGTGTGTGTGTGTGTGTGTGTGTGTGTGTACACGTGCATGTGTTCACCCATGTAAGCAACTGCTCATATGCCTATGTGTGCATGCTGGACGGGTGGGCATGGCACGGGAGGGGGTGGCATAGTCTTCTGGGTCTGGGCCAACACAGTGTCTACATTTCCCTGCCTTGCAGGAGAGACTTGGGAAGTCATTTGGCATTCCTGTTTCCATTTTTTTTTTTTT